ATGGATGAGAGCCTGCTTGCTCCCCCCCCCCCCCGTACTGGGGATTGAATGCAAGGCCTTTACAGTGAACTACAACCCAGATTTCTCTTTTTATTTTTTACTTTGAGACAAGGTCCCCCTACGTTGCCCATGGTGGGCTCAAACTTGCAGTCCTCCCACTACAAGCTCTCAGAACACTCAGACTATCGTTGTGTACCCCCAAACTAATGAAGGGGGGATCAAAAGCAGGAAATTCCTAGAGTTCTGTAACTTTCATAGTAAGTTTTACAATTAGGTAGCATAAGTGCTTCAACTTGATATTTATCTTTTCAGAATTCTTTTGACTGCTCTCAGTGCTTTGCATGTCCATAGGAGTTTTATGAAACAGCCTCCAAGGGCTGGGGATGTGGCTGAGCAGATCACTTCTCCAGGGATGTGACTGACTGCAGAGGGTCCCTCGCAGGTCTTTGTGCAAAGGCGGGGCTTTGGGAGATGACTGGATGTTATCTTCATCTGGGAATTAGTTAACAACACCCCTTTTCTTTATGGGGTTTCACTCCTTGCTTACCTCCAGGGTAGTCATACCTTTGCACAAGAGCTATGGATTTCACTATTCAGGAGTCTTCCAATAATTACCCTTCAGGCATCTCATCACAGAATTACTGTTTACTATACGAAGGGTGGGGGCTGGGGAGATGGCTCAGTAGAATAAGTGCTTCCCTGGCAAACGCAAGGACCTGAGTTCAATCCCCAGTTCCGGAAAAAAAAAAAAAAAAAGGGTGAAAACAGTTTGTGGCTAAAGCAATTTTTCTCAAATAAGCTTCCCCGAAAATTTATGTGCAGCTTTCTCAGAAAGACAAATTGTGCTTACTGCAAAAGGACAAAAGCAATGACTGAACATTTTCAGTGATTTTTTTTTTTTTACAATCTGGCTAGAAGTCAGTGATACATTTCTATCCTGAGAAAACTGACCTAACTTAGTGGGGATTGCTTGTTCATTTCTTGAGGCAGGGTCTCACTGCATAGCCCAGGTTGGCTCCCTCTCTTGGCAATCCTCCCACCTCAGCATGTCGAATGCTGGGATTACAAATGTATGCCACCATCACCACCAACCTTGTTTTTTAACTTAATACATGCATAGTGACATTCATTGTGGGGACTTGGTACATATACATATCTTAATTCCTTTTACCTATTTTTCACTTGTCTCCTCTAAACTTTTCTTTGTAACACCATTCAACATGATGAATTCCACAAGGAAAAGCTGCAGCTTTAGGACAATTTAATATCTGCATGGTCGGTCATGGTAGTGTGGTGGTGCATGCCTGTAATTCCAGCACTCAGGAAGCTTAGGCAGGAGGATCATTGCAAGTTCCAGACCCTCCTGGGCTAACTGAGGCCCTTGTGCTTGCCAGGCAGGTGCTTATTCTCCTGAGCCAGCTCCCTGGCCCCAGTAACACATAGAATTATGCTTGCTTATACGAAGGCCACCAATACACGCCAGTTTCTTTCTGTCCACAATTCACATTCCTGACTAGGCCTGTAGGGCATGTATGTGCATGCTTGTGTGTGCATTCGTGTGTGTGTGCATGTGCATGTGTGATCACAGGCATCGCTAACTACGATGGACTCACACTTAGATCCAAGAGGTCTCCACTTTATTGGGTCACCCAAGCCCCCTCCTGCTGTCCCCACATCCTCCCTACCCACACCCGCACTCGTCGACCACCATGTCCTCATAATGACGCAGAATGACATTGTCCTCATTATCCAGGTAGAGCATGGAGATGGGCGAGAGCTTGGTGGGGACACACACAGCCGGGGGCACCGCGGGGTCCGCGACCTGCATCAGCGCCTGCATGAAGGCATAGTTGGAGCTGTTCAGGTAGGTGGCTGCGGACAGCGGACACTCGCCGTGACAGTAGTTGGCCATGAATCCCTTGGGCGCGATGACCCACTTGTGCCAGCCCAGGTCCCGGAAGCTGATGAACAGCCGGTGGCGGTGGCAGAGGCTTGGGCAGGCAGCCTGGGGGGCAGCGGGCAAGGCCCTCCGAAGTCGGGCAGGGCGGCGGCGGCGGCAGCGCCTGGGGTCCAGGGTGGCCACCAGCAGGGTCACGCGCAGAGCCCGCCGCAGCCTGGAACACGCGGCCCCGGGGAGCCAGTGCCGCCCGGGGTCTCCGTCTGCCAGGACCCGCGCCTCCAGCAGCAGCCCCAGGCCGACCCGTGGGCGCCGGGCTGCGTGCAGTAGCGCCCCCTGTAGGCGGACGCGGAGGGCGCCATGGGGCCGCGGCACAGACTGTGTGGCCACCACTCTGCTCCGCTCGCGCGTGGGCCCTGCCCGCCTTTGAGGCTCCGGAACCACTGACACAGTCAGCTCCAGTGCCGGGCCCAGCTCGTGGTAGGAGCTGGGCCCCAAGTCCAAGCCCAGCTCGGCCGCTGTGGGCTGCTCCCAATCCGGGATGGCCGCAGAAAGATTGAAGGAGAGCAGCCGCATCAGGCAGGAGTCAGATGGAAGGAGGATGCCTGTGTGGAAAGAGACGGCACACGTCACCCTCTGCCCGCTGCAGGCCCTCCACCCATCCGCACGTGCATTCTTACCTTCTCCAAACCTTACCCCTTGCAAGGCGGAGGCAAGAGGAGCATCATGAGTTCTACTTTAGTTTACAGAGGATGACCTTGAACTCACTATGTAACCCAGGCTGGCCTCACACTCACCGTGCCCCTGCCTCAGCCTCCCAAATGCTGGGATTAGGCATTAGCTTCTCACCTGGCAGAAGTGAGAATTCTTACACACTCATTGTGGGGTACACATTCTATTGGCTACAAATCGAAAAGCTTAAAAGTCAGCACTCAACAGGTTGAGGCAGGAGGATCCAAGTGAGTTCAAGGCCA